ATTACAAATATACAGATTATAAGAATTAGTAACTATAAAATTAATCTACTTAACAATGCTAAACACTTCCAATGAGCTTCCACAGCTGAATAGAAATTCAAACCCCAGTCTTCTGAAGTCGTAGTCCAATACTCAAACCACTATACCATACTCCCACTCAGGTCCACCTCAAATATTTCCTTCCTCCATAAATACCTTTCCTCACTATCCATTTGTTGCGGGTGTAGTTGTTTGTAGTCAAATCAACTTCTACTGAGAATCATAGAATCAAAGAGTTGGAATAGACCTCAAGGGTCATCAAGTCCAACCCCATGCCATGCAACTCATAGCAACCCTATGGATGAGAGACTTCCAAGAGCCCCAGTCAACAACTGCTCTACTCAGATCATGCAGACTTAATACCATGGATTCCTTGATGGAAACAATCCAACTGTGGTGCAATCTCTCTCTTTTCCTACCAAGCATTATCATGTTTACCAGTGAGTCATCATCTCATGATATTTTCAATTACGACACCTTCAGTTGAATCATCTTCACATTTAGGGTAAGTTCAGGGTCCTTCTCCCTTATTCTTGATGCTCTGACACAGAAGAAAAGCTGGGCCAAAATGTCCCTGGATCCATTTTCCTCATTGTTTCAGTATAGATAATGAAAAGGGAGGGGGGTTGATGACTGCTGTCAGTGATGGAGGGTCTTCCAGCAGCTTTTGAAAGAACCACCAGTGGTGAATGGTGGTTCTCATGTTCAGGCAGCAGTGAATCCACTCCATGTTTTAAAGGCACTATGCAAAGTGCTGAACCCTACCTCTCAAATAAGTTCAACTTTTTGTATCTCTTTTCTGAAGTACATGCTAAAAGCAATTCTACAACCGATTGACATGGAAACCAACAAACACTCCTGAGAACCACCACAATGAAACTGCAAGTGATGGACATTAAAGGAAAGCCCACAAAAAAATAAGCCCGTGTCCACACTTTCACACCTCCAATTCTCCCATAAGTTAAACCCAAAAGCTTTTAGTTGAGAACATTTGACTCAACCCTACTAACTCAACCCTGAATCCCCAAGTTCTCACCAAAATATATGTTTCTGATGAGATAGTCTCAACATGTAGATAATGGCCAAGATCCTGCACTGGCCAGTACAGCACAAGAGGTGCTCACCAAATCCAAGCCTCGCAGACTTCAGGGATCGTTACCTCAAGGGAACACCAGCCTCCACTTTTGAGGTGGGTAAAAGTGGCATTGTGGTACAGTGTTTTGAGTATTGGACTAGGACTTCAGGAGACAAGGATTCAAATTTCTGTTCAGCCATGGAAGGGAACACCAGCCACCCCAATAACCAAAGAGGAAGGTGTGTGCAGGTGCAAGGTATAATTACAGTCAGCCCTCCATATCCACCTATTCTTTATCCATGGAATCAAACATCCACAGCTTGAAAATATTCTGTATAGATATAAATATCCAAAAAGGAAACCTTGACTATGTCATTTTATATAAGGGAAACCATTAGACCATGCCATTGTATTTATTGGTACTTGAGCATCCATGGATTTTTGTATCCACAGGGGTCCTGGGACCAAACCCCAGCAGATACTAAGAGCCTACTGCATGTCTGTGTATGGCACTAATGAGTGCCACCATGATGTAGTGGTTTAAGTGTTGGACTGACTCTGGAGAACAGGGTTCAAATCCCTGCTCGGGCATGGAAACCACAGGATGACCTTGGGCAAGTCACACTCTCTCAGAGGGAGGCAAGGGGGAAAGCCCTCTGAACAGATCTTGCCAAGAAAACCCCATGATAGGTTTTCCTTAAGGTCACCATGTTGGAAATGACTTGAAGGCACACAATAACAGTGGTACTAATAGCATACTAGCCATTGCTTGTTGAAAAATGGCCAACCCCATAGGATTTCTGTCTCCATAGCAAGAAGAAGTTAAGAAGCACCTCTTTCCCACTGAAATTTCTACAATTTGTGCAAAATATCACTGCATAAGACTTTCCTCCATGACCCAGTGAAGCAAAGAACACAAGCAGCAACGAAGTATGGGCTGGTTGCTCAGAAAGATGCCACAATCCACCTGATATATTTAATTTTTAAAAGTCCATCAACTCCCATAGTTTTGCACAACTGACACAATTTGATCATGCAAAACCCATTCTCACAAATATGAGAACTATTGTAGATACTGGAAGAAAATATCACACTTTCCCACAAGTCAAAGAGGAAAAAAAATGTGGTTTCTCATTCTCACACACAAGAATAGGGTAACCAAAGATTTATATCACTATGCGATATGTACCCTTTCTTCCTTCAAATCCCTCTGCTATGAAGGATGATGAAAACTTTGGTTTAACCTTTTGCCCTCATCTTCTACTGAAATGAAGAGTGTCTGCGTACTGTAACAACATTTCTTCATCTTCATCCTGTTACCCTTAACTCCCCCTGTCTTTGTCATCTTTATAATGTCTAAATTTAGATTGCAAACTCTCTGGGGGAGAGAGATACTTCATACCATGCCACATACAGCAATTATACAGTATTGAGCATCATCATGTTTAATATCAAGACTCTCCACCACAAATGATGGCCAAATTTGGTGGAAGAACAGCTTCCCCAAATTTCAAGGAGCTGCTCAACCCCACTTAGAAATCAGAGATAGGACAGCAATGATGGGCTATATTAGAGCTGCTGCCACACTGTAGAATTAATGCAGTTCAATATCTCTTTAACTATCATGGCTCCACTCTATGGAATCCTGGGATTTGTATTTTGTTATGGTACCAGAGCTCCCTGACAGATAAGGCTAAATATCTCACAAGTCTCACTTCAAATCCCAAATTTGAAAAGATGCTCAGCAACGGCTCCTCTCCACCCTGGTTAGAAGTGACCAGTGGGATGACACAGGTTTCATTCTTGGGACCAATGCTATTCAACATTTTTTATCCATGCCTTGGATGATGGAATAGAGGGTCTGCTTATCAAAGTTGCATATGACACCAAATTAAGGAGGAGTAGCTAATATCCCAGAGGACAGGATCAAAATTCAAACTAACCTCAATAGATTAGATTAGATAACCTCAATAGATTACAACAGGAGAAATGTAGGATACTATACTTGGGCAGTAAAAATGAAATGCACAGATATAGGATGGGGGACACCTGATTTAATGGCAATATATGCAAAACAGAAGACAGCCAATGCAATTCTAGACTGCATCAGTAGGAATACATTGTCTAGATGAAGGAAAGAAATAGTGCTATTCTATTCTGCTTTGGTCAGACCTCACCTATAACATTGTGTCCAGTTCTGGGCACCACAATTCAAGAAGAATGTTGAAAAAAACTGGAGCATGTCCAGAGGAGGGCCACTAAAATGATGAAAGGTCTGGAAACAATAAAACCCTATGAGGTGCAGCTTAGGGAGCTGGATATGTTTATCCAGGAGAAGAGAAAGCTACCGGGTGACATGATAATCCTGTTTCAATAGTTGAAGGGATGTCATATTGAGGATGGAGCAAGCTTGTTTTCTACTGTTCCAGAGACTAGGACATGGGGTAGTGGATACAAGCTACAGGAAAAGGGATTCCACTTCAACATTAGGAAGAACCTCCTGAAAGTAAGACCTGTTCAACAGTGGAACACACTCCCTCAGAAAGTGGTGGCATCTCCTTCTTTGGAGGTTTTTAATAGAGGCTTGATGACCATCTGTCTGGAAAACTTTGATTATCTTCCTGCATGGCAAGGGGTTGGACTGCATGGCCCTTGGAGTCTCTTCCAACTCTATGATGCTATGGTTCCATGAACTCTATTGTGCCCAGTGGGGTGGTAACTTCCTATCTGCCCAATGATACTAGTTTCTAGGCCCTGCGTGTCTGTATAACAGTACATTCTTTATAACATTGCTTCTGTATGGTCCCATGTACCAAAAGTTCCTTTTATTGAGTGCCTCAAAGTTGAACTTTGTTCTCACTAATAGGCCCCATTAGAGTTTATGAAGAAGAGGAGGAGGAAGAGAAAGGAAGCCATTTCGAGCGTGTATTGATTTTGTCAAGACCATCAGTCCAGAGAGGATTCAACATGAGAGTGAATTCGTGCTGCTGTTAAAAATTATATAAGCCCATTCCAAGTGAAATGGTTCACTTGAGAGGTACCTTCTCTTTACCCTTTACCTCCAAACCATTGTGTCTGAAACCGTGAGAAATTACCTCTTCCCAAGAGCAGAACTAGACACTTCATTAGAATGGTTCCTGTTCTATGTATTTCCCTGATAGCATTTTGATGGGAGAGGAATCAAATACTGGTGGTGAATTTCCCCAATGTATCAAACCAAACTGATGGGGAAAGGCCACATGTAAGAAAGATGTAGGTAGGATAACTTTAATTGCCATGGATCCATTCAATGGACTCCTGAGATTTGAAGTGTGACAAGTTTCTTAAAATTCTCTGCTAAACAGCTCTGCTCCACTCTTCTGAACTACTGTGCTAGACCTCCCTAAGAGATTATTCTAAGGATCCCACAAATCTACAAATCTCAGGATTCCACAGCATGGATCCATGGCAATTGAAGTGGTATCAAAGTGCTTCGCCATACTTGTTTAGTAAGGATTTACTTTAGGAAAGATTTTAAGATCTAAATATTCCAAAGTTCCAGATCCAAAGATTCAATAACCAAATACGTCTGTCTTTCTAATGGCAGGAAAATGACAAAAGGAAGCAGATGTAAACAAATTGTGACCAATGATGATGATTTGGCAAATAGCAGGGTTACTAATGATGTAGTGGTTTGAGTGTTAGACTATGACTTTAGAGACCAGGGTTGGATTCCCAGCTTGGCCATGAAAACCCACTGGGTGACCTTAGGTAAGTCACATGCTTTCAGTCTCAGAGGAAGGCAATGGCAAACCTCCTCTAAACAAATCTTGCAAAAAGATGCCAATAGTCAGAAACAAGTTGAAGGCACACAACAACAAGAAGAACAATAAATAACGTTAAAGAAGGGAGCCTAACATAGTGGTTTGAGCACTGGACTTTGACTCTAGAGGCCAGGGTTCGAATCCCTACTCAGCCATAGAAACCCACTGGGTGATCTTGGGCAATTCACAAACTCTCAGCCTCAGAAAACCCTGTGATAGGTTCCCCTTAGGGTCACCATAAGTCAGAAGCAACTTGAAGGCACACAACAACAGCAAAGGCAAAAGAGAGAGGAGACAGGAGCATCTTGAAAGTATTGAATGGAATCTTTTCATTAAAAGCTGGGGGGAAATAATTATGGCATAAAAATTAATGTTGATCATATTTTACTATTTCATAAACTATCAGAGTAATGCTGTGTAGCATTTCATGCTTTGCACAGTCTATTTTACTTTGCATTTAATTTTGGAGGTGTCTTCACTTACTTCATTCTCACATTTGAGATTAAATAATTTGAAAGGTTTTCTCCTTGCTGGGTAAGCTTATGAGAAAATGTTTTTGTGTGTCTGCTTGTGTGTGTGTGTGTGTGTGTGTGTTGTCACAAAGAGAGAGCGAGAGAGAGAAACCATTTTCAGTGACTTTTCTCATTTGGAGACAGCAGCAGCTCATGTTTCCCTTGTCAGTGGGACTGCAATAGGAGCCATCAGACTCCCCAGAAAATGGGGACCTTCTGAAAGAAGAATGCCCAAGCAAACCCCTTCCATTTTTCACAAAAAAAAACCAACTATGAGTATTATGTACAAAATCTCAGGTGGCATCCTGTTGCAAAGTGATTTACAATTGCATACAGCTGAACTGTGCCATAGCATTCTCAGGAAGGAAGGGAAGATGTAGCTATGCCATTATGTATGCACAAGCAATGTCCCAACATGCAATTCATCTCATGGCAGAGCATGGTACGTCCTGTTGTGCGATAGGAGCCCCCATTGCATAACTGGATATTTTATGCAGTATCCCACTGTGTGTCATAACGATGCAATAATGTGGTTGTGTATTGTGTCAGCAGCATAGCTCCATCATTGCATAGTTATGTATCATACCCTCTGACACAGGACCTTGGCCATATTTAACTTGTGCAGGTGACGATGATGATGATGATGATTTTGCCAAAAAAAAGTCTCCAGTTGTGAAAAATCTCATCAAGGCTGGTGCCAACAAACTTGGTTGAGAATGAAAATATTTGCAAATATACTTGACACCCCTATTTGACTTGGGAAGCACTCCAAGAAGTAGGTGCCCAATAGTCTGAACTCATTGGTATCATAGGCTTCTTTCCAGAAGAACTACTTCACAAAAGTGTCACTGCTCTATTATTCTTCCTGACAGAGTTATACAAGTGTTGAGATAGCAATTTTTTTGACAAAGAAACAAACAATAGAGATTTTTTTTAAATCCCTAGGAGAAGGTCAGGACTGGTAGGGGGGATTAAGAATGGATGTCCTCTGTGAAATCTGAGCAAGACTGATGACTTTGGAGGGGGATTAATAATTTATCCTGTGGCTTCACAGATGCATTCCCAGGACCATTGCACTCATAAAGTAGATTAAGCATTGCAGTCTTAATGAGAAACTTGTTATCAGTGAAATTATGTCGTCTTGTTGACTTCTTGTCCTCCTGTTCACTATTGAATACTTCTGATTTAATTTGATATGATAGATTGTGGATGCTAAAATCATTTGTAGATAATGTGTTGTGTATAAGATGACGCATGTGAAATAAAATTAATTTAAAAACAAATCTGGCTCATAATATGTGAATTAAAATAAAGCTCGCTTGATGAGCTAATTTTCTTCTGTGGCTTGGATTTTAATCTGAGGCTGAGAGGGAGGGTTGTCTCTTCCCTCTGTATACTCAGCATGCTACTGCATGAGTCAGTGGCACTGGGACACACTACATTTCCCATCTTTTCTTTTAACAGGCACACTCTTGTGGTTTCAGTTAAACTAACATAGATTAGAGATCTGGGCCAAAACAAACAAAATGAATTTCAACAGGCAGAAAGGTAAGGTACTAAACTTTGGCAGAAAAAAATGAAATTCACAGATATAGGTTGGGTGACACCTGCTTGTCAACACTGCATGTGAAAGAGATCTAGGAGACTTAGGGCCGATGCAGATGGCCCATAAGGGACGGCTCTGTGCCACCCCTGGGAGCGGCAGATCGGGGCTGCAGCAACCACACACCGCATCCCCGATCCTCCTTTTTGCCACCCCAAAAAGAGTGACCAAATGCCCTTAGAACAGCCACCGTGGCTCTTTTGTGCCCCTTTGGTGCAGTGTGTGTGCATGCTGCGCCAATGGGGCACCCTGATGCTGCACGTCATACAGTTGGGCACGCGGCATTGGAGCAGAGTCAGGGTGGAGTCAGGGCAGCCAGCGTGCAGTCGCCCCACCCCAACTCCACCCCTAGACCAGCCTAAAGTGCTGATCTGCATCCCCATAGGAATATAGTGTATAGATTGAGGGAAGTAATAGTCCCATTCTATGCAGCTTTGGTCAGGCCTCACCTGGAATACTATGTCCTGTTCTGGGCACCACAATTCAAAAAGGATATTGACAAGCTGGAACATGTCCAAAAGAGGATGATGGTAGAATGTCTGGCCATTATGAAGGATGCAAAATGGCAGCCAGGCTGCCCACAGAATTCTTTTTGCTACTATACTTACATCTTCTTCTGGGGTGGTGGGAGTAAAAAAGAGGAAAGAAAAATATGCATTCCTATCATTACAAATGATGAACCCACCTCCAAGAAAGGTGATGCAAATGTGTCTGTCCCTCCATACACACACACTGCTTTCAGTAGATACAAAAATCATGGTGAACTTAGCTATAGCAGTATAGCAATTGACAAAGAATGAAATCTGAAGAGGATGAAAGATCTGACTTTTCTAATTTCTCCATGCCTTCTTTCACTCATTGAAGGTAGTTTCGTGGGATAAAGAGTTGGAGCAGGAGAGAACAGGTAGATAGGCCAATTGTGTGATTGAATGGAATTTGGACACTTGCTGAGTTGCTTGAAGAATGGCATTCCTGAGAGTATCACAATAGCATAATGGGATCAAATTTGTACTTAAAAGAAACCAGACTATCTCCCATGTTTCTATCTTCAAACCCCTGATTCCACTTCTGACTCTAACTGAGGGAATTGTCCCAATCACTAATCTAAATCTAACTTCCTTTTCAGCCTCCTGTTACCATGGATGACCAAAAAGACAATCAAATGGGTCCAAAACCAGATCAAGCCTAAACTTTCCCAAGAACTGAAGCTAATGTACAGTCGAAACATACCGGCAGTAAACGCTGGCTTGGGGGCGGCGTGAGGGTGTGGTGTTTAGATGACACGCACCCCAACACCGCCTGCAAACCAGCGTCACACCACCCATCCGACCAGATGGTGGACAGCATTGCGGCGCTCCAGTGACATGGCATTTATACACCACACACTGCAGGAACACAGAAAAGCTGCCACTGTGGCAGAAAAGGAGGCTTTTTTCCACCACCAAAAGGAGCAGCATTAGATCAGGGCTGCAGCATGCAGTTGCCATGGCCCCAACCCAGCACTCAAAGGGGTGGCTTCAAGCCACCCCTTTAGGGTTGTCTATAATATCCCTAAATTGAGGCTGTCATACTTTTGACA